TATATGTATGTCACATATATACATATACATACATACCATATATATATACATACACACACATCTAAATCATAGTATATCGTTTCACTTATTTTACCATATGTGTGTATCTTATTCTAAGCAGTCTTTTCAGACTTGGTATCTTACCATTCTAGATGTAAAATCTGCCCCCAACATTGTGTGTAACTCCAGCACATTCATATCACTGCTAAGTAATATTCTTTTGTGTAAATCCACCGATCTATTGCTCATATCCCTTTGGGGACATTTTCTGCTAAAATTTTATTGTATCTCTTCTGTTTCGTTTTCTCAAGCTGTTTAGTTTCCCATTTACAAACCATGATTACAAATTTCATAAGACTGTTCCTCTCACTGATAATACCTTGTGAAAATATTCACATTTCAGTAAATGCTCTTCCATGGTATGAACTGGTATGACCAGAAAGCATCCCATCATACACTAACCATATAATTTTTTAACCATCTCCAATTGCTGGACGTCTAGATTCTTTGTGATTTTATTCTGTGATAAGCATTACGATGCTGATGACCTTATTGTCTCAGTAATTTCTCATTTTAATTATTTATTCTAAGGAATAAACAAATTTTACATAAATGTATACTGTGATACCGTTTGGAGTTTTGCACAAGTTGTACAATACATATGTTGATCAGAGCAAATTTTTATGATACCAAGAAACTGAAAGGAACGTAATGCCTACTAAAAGGAGATGGAATAAATATATAGCAAAATTGTAAAATAAATGCGCAGTTTACTACTGTGGAAAATTATAATTTATTAAGTGAAAAATATATTACATAGTAGACTCATTCCATTTTGCAAAAGAAGATAAGCATACTTGCTGAAGGATCTGTGAGAATATATACCAAAATCTTGATGATTATCTCGGAAGTACTGAGATCTGAGAGCCTACATTTTCACTTTGTTTCTTTATATTTTAAAGGTTTTGCAATAAAACTATCACACATACAGTTTTAAAAATGAACAAATAATGAATTTCATGCAAAATCATTTAAACGTTTTTCTTGGGCATAGATACCTTTTCATGGTAAGAACTTTGGGGAAAAACATTAAGAATATTAAAGAAAACAAAATCACACATAATACTCCTTACCCTGTGATAACTAGTTCACAATCTCTAGTGTGTTTTCTTCCAGTAATTTGTCTCTATACATTTAATTGCTGCAGCCATACTCAATATGGCCAAGTTGATTTTTAAAGAGCATTATATAATGCACAGACCATAAATATTTTAATGACAGATATATGTAAATAACACCTTTAATCATTTTTAAAAATATTTATTATTTTTATTTTATGTGAACGAGCGTACTGTCTGCATGTATGTAAGTGCACCCATGTCGTGCAATGCCGCAGAGGTTAGAAGAGGGTTTCGGATTCCCCCGAAACTGGAGTTAAGGACAGTTCATAGCTGTCATGTGGGTGCTGGGAATTGAACCCGGGTTCTCTGCAAGAGCAGTCAGTGCTCTTAACTGCCAAGCCATCTCTCCAGCCCCCTTAATCATTTTGTTTTAAAGCTAGAGTCAGGGGCTGGGAATAAGACTTAGTCGAGAAAATGCTTGTCTTATAAGCATGAGAACCTGAGTTCATTCCTCAGGACCGATACAAAAGGCTAGATTTAGTGGCATGCACCACCACACCTACCTTGAATTATCCATATTTTTAAAAAATTATTTGAAGAAATACATTAAAGTATAATATTATGTTAAAAAGTTAAAAAAAGTTCCTGATTAAGGTAGACTGGAGTAATAAAGAAAAAAAATCAGGCTCAAACACCACCATAATCCCATACCAACTGTCATTACCCTCATCAGGTAAAACCACTTATGTTGTCTTAATTGCAAGTTCACTATAACAACCAAATGAGAAACTAGATCCTTCAGCATTATTTGCCTAAGAATGCTCTTCTTGACTTTGAAAACACTCACAGCATCCTATATTTACTTCTTCTACACACCCTTACTACAATCGATAATTATTCTATTATTTGTACATTGTATGTTTACCCCAGATGATTTTTAAGCTCCATCAAAATATGCCTGGCACAAATTTGGCACTCAATAAATATTTATTGGATGAATGAATGGATGACTAAATGAAGTGATACCACTTTGTAGACCATAATTAAAATGTATTGCTAATTGTTACTGATGCTGTTCCTTTTCATTACCATGATGGCTGCAGATAGAGATTACTTGCCTAACTATAATTTCATTATATGGCTTTCTTGTTGTTCATATCAGCCAGAGGCATGAATAGCAACGTTATTACAAGTCGCTGAGGAGAGCTGAGACTTAGTGAAACAAGAGAATAGTTCTCCATCTCAGCATCCTGGGATTTAAGGAGTTGTATTTACCATTAGTTGGATACAATATAGTGATCCAGGAACCCTGGAGGTCAGTGATATTTGAAGAAGTAGGTAGATCCTGCATATCAAAAACAAACTAATAGTAAGAGGTCTATAGCAGTATGGTTCAGGCTAGAGAATAAGTGGCAAGGGATTAAAGTAGAAGGGAAAATTAAATTGCCAAGCACCAAAATTCAAGGTATAAAGCTGTGAACATGATTCTAAAGCAATGCATACTTGATTTCAGGGCTCTCCTACATCTTTCCTATTGACAACACAGAGGACAGTAACAGGGATGATAGCGTATGTGGGCTCCAGTATGTGGGAGGGGGGAGGTTATGGGAGGATGCCATTGGGGAAGTAGGTATATAGATGAATAAGATTGTGTGGGATGTTCTGTATGATATACACACAGAAAAATCAAAAAAATTAAAAAAAGACTTATATTTGAGGAGGAAGCATAAAAATTTACTCATGTTAAATAGTAGAGGTGAGATGATAGCGTATGTGGGCTCCAGTATGTGGGAGGGGGGAGGTTATGGGAGGATGCCATTGGGGAAGTAGGTATATAGATGAATAAGATTGTGTGGGATGTTCTGTATGATATACACACAGAAAAATCAAAAAAATTAAAAAAAGACTTATATTTGAGGAGGAAGCATAAAAATTTACTCATGTTAAATAGTAGAGGTGATAAACACTACCAGTGAAATCTACCTGATGACTTTATATCCATACTCAGGTACTAAGGATCCGACTGTAACCGACTGTGCCTAGTAATCATCCGATACAGAGACCCGCAGACAGTAACCCAGCATAGAACTGGGAAAATGAACAGCAGATCGCAATCTTATCTAATGGAATGTTGGCGACTTATTGCTGCTAGATAAAGAGCTGATATTCCTAAAACAAGGGACTCTAGATAGGCTGACTAGGCTCAGCAGGTGGACTAGTACTGGGGAACAGCTGGGGGTGCTGAAATCTACCTGATGAATTTATATCCAGGTACAGTTAGCGAGGATACAAGAAAGTAACCAACTGTGACTAGTAATAATCAGATATATAGCAACTAGAAATGCATGTGCAAACATTAGTGTTAATTGCAATAAAAATGAATTTTTCTGTATGAAATTATGTATTTTAATAATGAAATTGAGATCTTTTATAAAAGCTAAAATCTCATTTAATTTTGTCTTATAGGGTTTATTTATACTGAGTACAATATTGCATAACTGTATTAATTCAACTGTAAACCAAAAAAATTTACAGCCAATTTTGAAAGCGATGCAACTTAGCTCTGGAAATTGTTACTGAATATGTCAATACTGTTGTAATGAAATGCTTCTTCTAAGTATGTGGTTATCAAGAATTCGGTCTCAGAAGAACGTGATGGAGCCGGTGTGATGCACGCCTTTAGTCCCAGCACTCAGGAGGCAAGGGCAGGTAGATCTCTGTGAGTTCAAGGCCAGCATGTCTACATAGTGAGTTCCAGGACAGCTAGGGCTACAGGGAGACCCTGTGTCAAAAAAGACCCCCAAAAAACGAGTTATATTTGAGGAGGAAGCATAAAAATTTAGTTCACGTTAATTAGTAGAGGTGATAAACATTACCATTGAAATCTACATGATGACTTTATATCCATACTCAGATGCCAAGGATCCGAGTGTAATTGACTGTGATAGTAATACTCAGATATGTAGAGAATAAAGACACATGTGCAAACATCTATGTGTTAGTAGCATTAATAATATAGGAAACAGCATATTTTAAAATGAAATGGAGATCTTCTTTAAAGGGTAAAAACCCATTCAATTTTATGTTACAGGGTTTATACTAATACTGTTGTAATGAAATGCTTCTTCTAAGTATGTGGTTATTAAATAATTTTTTTTAATACATTATTTAAAATAGAAAAAAAGTGAAAATGGTATCAGGACATGCTTGCACCTACTTCCACATACATGAGCAAGAGGCTGGTAGCAGCTGGTTGAAGGATGAAATTGTTAGCACAGACAAGGTACTAATAGTGATACTGTACATAAAATTTTATAATATTCTATACATAATATGGGGATAGTGAAACTTTAGTTCCCATGATTCGCATCATCAGATACAACAGCACAGTGGTAAAATCATGGATTCTGGAAACAGGCTAGCTGGCTTCTAATGTCAGCTCTTTAACTTACTTGTTATGTCCTTTGGACAACCTAGTTCATCTCTATATGCCAGTTTCCTCATCTGTAAAACTGGTATAATGATAATATCTATCTCAATGGGCTGTGAAGATTAAATGAATTGATGCATGCAAGGACCTTAGAACAGTGCCTGGACACAGC